AAAACTTCAGTTTTGAAAAATGTTTTATTTCAGAATTACATATTTCAAATATCTTCCAAAATACAGTTTCCTAGATCACTACAAAAGAAAGCAAATTCAGTAAGAAATTTAAATCATTAAATATGTTGCACTAGTATATACATACAGAATGCTAAGCAATAATAATTAGCCCTGGAATGCGTACCATCTCCCTTTTCCCTCATTAAAGGCTCAACTAGAACTGTGTATAGGCTATGTACAGAGTTCCATGTATATAAGAGTGCGACGCTCACTGCCTCAGCTTATAGCTGTGGTAGTTTGTCCACTGGGGTGTCAAACTTGAAGTCTGAAGGGAAGAGATCTGGAGCTCGAGGATAGATTAGTCTGTAGGATTGTCTGATTGTAACATCAGCAACACCAGCAATATCTCCAATTTCTAAAAGACAAAAAAAAAATTTAAACTGAATTGCCTTACCTCTTTCCTACTACTGAAGAGAAAAACAAAACCTCAAATTCCACTTTTTAAAATAGATAATGGGACTAAAAATGAACAGGTGGAAAGCAGTAGACGAAGTCAATATGAACACTGATAATGGTAGGTTTCTTTACTTTATTAAAGGATTTCTTAGTTGCCAGACGTGGTGGCACAAGCCTTTAATCCCAACACTTGGGAGGCAGGGCAGGTGGACCTCAGTAAGTTCAAGGTTAACCTTGTCTACATAGTGAGTTCCAGGCCAGTCAGGAAAACATGGTGAGACTCTATCCCCCGACCCCCAACCAAAAAAAAAAAGGTTTCTTAGTAATGCTCAAAGATGCACTATATGCAAAGGAACACAGGCTTGGCACTATGGGTGACAGATATTCTACTGAGTGTATCAGGAGCGGACTGCTACTTTTCCTTTATAAATCTGCCTGAAGCTCACAGAAGAAATCCATGAATAAGTGTTTTAAAGAAATTCACTGTTTCTGTGTTTGAAATTTCTCCTACCAAGTCTCCCCTACAGGCCCTGTAAGAAACAAAAAACCAAAATGTGCTATAATAAGTATTTTATGTATATGAACGTATTGCCTGCATGTATGTAAGTGCATCTGTGTTGTACGATGCCCGAGGAGGTCAGAAGAGGGTGTTATGGACAGTTGTTAGCTGCCATGTGGGCGCTGGGAACTGAACCTGGGTCCTCTGCAAGAGTAGCCAGTGCTCTTAACTGCTGAGCCATCTCACCAGCCCTGTTTTTCACTATTAAAAAACACATACTTGGGCCTTAGAGTGCCTGGATCCAGCCTCCACATGGTATAGATGGAATTCCACTGAAATGGGCAAACAGCCCGTGGAAAACAGATGATGCAGGAACCCGAAAGTTCAGTGCCTTGCCACAGTGGAAGGAAGATCATCCCAAAGTTACCACTCACTCCAAGGCTCAGGGACTTTTGAGGAAGATGTTGGTGGAAAGTATGTAAGAACCAGTGGAAGGGGTGAACCACTATGCCAGTAAGCTATAGGACACCTCCTTCCCACACTCATCAAGGGGTCCAGGGGGCAGGGAGGTACCAGTTACCCTTCCCACCCAATTAGTTGGGCCTTAGGTGCATGTGGGGGAGCGGCTAAGGATATATAAGCCCAGAATGCCATGAGGTACCTCTCTTGCCATTTTGTGTGGCTGTTGGGAAGTCACAGGATCTATATTTGAGTGTGGACTTTCCAGCTCAGGTATAAATGGGGGGTTGCCCACTCCTCTGTAAATAAAACCCTACCCTATGTTCTGTTAGCAAGCCCAATAAACACATTAGAATTTCCAAACAAACAAACAAACAAAAAAACTACATATTGGTGCATATGTATTGAGCTCATATCATCTGAGTATTTTGTACTACTAGAGAATCCTAAAAGAAATATTTATACCCTCCAAAGTCAGTGTCACTATTTCCTGAAAGACTACCATTAGAAGATTTGGTTAATTATTATGAATACTTTATTAAAATGGATTTTAAAACACATTTTTCAATACAAACTGATTCTACATGTTTTTAATTGATTCAAAACAATTTTTACTGATTTTCGGTGTGGATGTCTTTGGCCATCATTGTGCCATTAACTAATTTTAAATTCTCTTACCTTGCTCCATAGCAACACTGATGAATGCAAAACATCTGAAGACCAGGTGCCTAGTGGACAGGACTGGTTTGTCTGTCCTGAGACATGGTCTCCCCATGAAGCTGAGGCTGGCCTCCTACACCTGAGGATCCTCCTGCCTCTGCCTTCCAAGTACTCTGCTAACATACAATACTGCACCCAGTTGAAAAGTTTAAGTTACAAGAAACTCTTCATATTAAATCTAAGTAGAAGAAAGCATCAAAAGAAATGTTTTTACAGTGTTAGATAAAGTTTACAACTAGGAAGGCAAAGACAATCCATCTCTGGATTGCAACCTCTCTGCTTTGTCGGGAGACTTAAACTGTCTTGGGAATTATGAGTGAAGGCCAAAGGGAATGGATGATGCACCTAACTAGCAAGCAGCTGGCTTTCAACCTCATCTGTTAGTTATTCCTTTTATCTCCTCATAGCCTAAGCTGAGTTCAGGTGAAAGGCTGTTCTACCAAGGCATTAAAACATGATTGAACAGGCTAGAGAGATGGCTCAGTGGTTAAGAGCACTGGCTGCTCGTGCAGATCTGTGAAGCATTATCTATACAAGGTTAACTGAGGTGGGAAGAAACAACCAAAATGTGAGCCACATCATTTCATGGGCTGGAATCCCAGACTAAAGAAAAAGATATTCCATGGATTGGGATCTCACAGCCTGCAAAGAAAAAGCAGTCTTCTGTTTTCTGACTGTGGATACAATGTGACCAGCTTCCTCAAACTCCTGGGCCATGCCCTCCCTGATTGATGGATTGTTTCTGGAAATGTGAGCCAAATAGACCCTCCCTTCATTAGCATTCACCAAGCCCTGGGTTTGATCCCCAGCGGGGAATACAGATCATCTTCAGCTACATAGCAAGTTTAAGGCCAGCTGGGATACATGAGACCCCATTTCAAAAAGGCCAACAAACAAACAAAAAACAGTAAGAGGAGGACAGGCCCGTGAGGTAGCACCCTTCCCTGAGGGACTACTGACAGTCAGTCCACTGGGGAAAGGAGTGCCAGCTTCTTCAGTTATGTAACCACTGATAAGTTGCCCAACTCTAGTAAACAGCCTCCCCAAAGGGTACAAGTTAAAACAACTCAAATGGGAAAAGGACATTTGTACACAAGACTATAACTCCAAAGAACCACTTAAAGGCAAATACCATATTTTCCTAAGGTCCTGTGTGTTTTTCAAGATGATGGGAATTGGACCCAAGGACCTGGGGTATGCTAGGCAAGTACTGTATCATTGAGTTACTGAGCTACAATCCCAGTCTATTTCCTTAAGTTTTAATGCTGGGAAAGGAGTTCTTAAGTACGGGTTCTGAATACTTAACCTGCTTCACACTACAACAGAAAGCCAGCACAAACCCACAGCAGCTTCCTACAGGGCAGCCGCTCCCAAGAAGACCTTAAGAGGAGCTTACCCTTCTGCGTTCTTTTCTCTGCTGATGCCTGTGAGGCCATGTAAATAGCAGCTGCAGCCACCGAGATGGGGCTCCTCCCAGGAACCAGGTCCAATTCTACAGCCTTCCGGGCGATATGTGTAGCTGCCATCTGCACTTGCTTAGGAAGACAAAGGTTGGAGCAGAACCTGGACATGAAGTCCCCAGTCGTAATCAAATCCACACTGGTTTCTAAAGCTTTCAAAATAAGCTTAAAACAGCGACCGATTTCTTTCTTCGAAATTCGTGATACAGCACATATTTCTAAGAGAAAAAAAAATCAAATTCATACAAGCCACAGAGTTCATTTTAAAATGCATCCTTTTTGATTATTAAAAAAAAAATTCTAAAAAAAAAAAACATTCTAGGGCTGAAGAGTTGGCCCAGGAGTTAAGAACACTGCTTGCTCTTGCAGAGGACCAGGGTCCAATTCCCAGCACAACCATCTGTAACTCCAGGTCCAGGGGAATCTGACCCTCTCTTCTGACAGCCGTGGGTATTGCACAACATGGGTACACTTACGCACACGCAGGCAATACACTCATACATGTAAAATTAAAAAAAAAAAAAATAACCAAACTAGTTGCAAAAACTTCAATCTTGGCTTAAAGATGAATCCTCTCGGTGATATTTCCGATACAGCTTATTTAAAATTTCCTGGTTAGGGCCGGGCATGCCTTAATCCCAGTATTTGGGGGGCAGAGGGAGGTGGATCTCTGTGAGTTCAAGGCCAGCCTGGTCTACACAGGGAGTTCCAGGTCAGCTGGGGCTACAAGGAGACCCTGTCTCAAAAAAGATCCCCTCCCCGCAAACACACAAAAATCCTGGTTAGGAAGAGCCGGTCTTCCTAAAACAAGAGACTCTAGATAGGCTGACCAGACCTCAGTGAAGGGACGTGCACTGGGTAACATCTGGGGTCACTGACTTGACACACTGGGCCTTAAGATGGATGAAAGAGTATATGGAATCCAGCGGGGGCTATGTGAGGGTGCCGCTGGGGACTGGGGTATACAGATGATTAAGATTGTTTGAGATATCCTGTAGACACAAAAACTCAATAAAAACAGATTAAAATGAAACAAAACATCCTGGTTAAATGCTGACCACACTTTAGATTCAAAAAGTAATCTCTCAAAATACAAACTTCTCTAGCTCTAGTTTATGCAAATAAATTCTTCAACTAGCCAAGAACTTCTTTGCTATTTACATACTCATCTTTGTAAGGAATGTTCCAAGGACATGAAAGAAAATACTCCAGCTGAAGAATGTCTGCGAAGCTACACAGAGTGAGCTGCACATGCAGTCCTGGCAATTACGTGCTACGGCTAAATAAGCTAATGTCAGACTCTGAGTTGCTATAGCAAAAAGGGAGGTGGTGATAACGGCCATCACTTCTTCTGTTTGACAGGAGAAAACATGTAAAAAGTAAATATTCATTGCATGAGTCAATGGGAAGTGTAGTTTTCAAACTGGACTCAGGCACTGAACACCATATGTATTCACCATGTCAACACTGTGACTGGCTGTCATATACTCATGAGTAAACGCAAATGAAAATAGCAGTTATCTCAATGTCTTCGGTTTGTACAAAACTGCAAACACTAGACCTCAAGAAACAAAATTACCCCAACTGGCTAAGACCTGACTCCCTCACATAATTACAGAGACCAGTGCTGGGATCAGAAGCTGTTTTTATCACCGAGTGTACAGCTCTAACTACAAAGCTTCTCTAGCATAAGATGCAGGCCTCAAAGCCCACAGCCAGCCAGTGGAAAGACTGTGCTAGCAATGACTCCACATGACAGAAGAGTTTCTAAAGAACATGGCCAGTAAGGTCACCTTGGGAAATTGTTATCAAAGAACAAAATAGGGCTGGAGAGATGGCTCAGCAGTTAAGAGCACTGGCTGCTCTTGCAGAGGACCCAGATTTGGTTCCCAACACCCACATGGCAGCTAACAATTATCTGTAACTCTAGTTCCAGGGAATCCAATGCTCTCTTCTGACCTCTGTGGGCATGGCACCACACAGGTGCACTTACATGCAGGCAATATAGTCATACATGTAAAACAAAAAGAAAAATAATAAATTAAATATTTTTCAAAGAACAGACTAAAGAGCCCCTGGCAAATGAAGGTCAGGTGGATCACTGAACACCTCAGTGAAGCTGTCACGTGTTGCAACCGAACCCTACCTTTGAATGTCCTCGGAACGCCTTCTTGTCTACAGGCAATATACAGACAGGCAGAAGCTATGGCATCGTTAGCTCTTCCCTTCAGGCTCTTCTGCTCATACACTTGCTTGAATAAATTATTTGTTCGATCCTTCAAAGCAGAGAAACGAAGTTTAATTAACTCTAGGCCATTTAATTACTTGCAATATCAAAATTTTATGTGCTCATTAAATTATGCAAAGTCAACGCCAGAATGGCTTACGGAGGTGGACAGCACTTACAACTATATTCCGAGGAAGGTTGATTCTGTCCGCCATGGTAGTGATTTCCTTGAAAGCATTCATCATTGCCCGATCTGAACTACTCATTGTTCTCCGGTTCTGATACTTAGAATTCCCAAACTCATCAAAACTGGCAGCTCCTGTACCCTATAAAACAAAGTTTATAATCCTACAAAAAACTGTTGGAAGACTCAAATTGACCATTTCTATGAAAATCTAGTTTATGTAATGTGACTCCACATGCCGCAGAAGAGCTTTCAGGGAGGGTTTTTCAAGAGTTTGTTTCATTGACACTTAAGTAATTGAAAACATCATTCAAGAACACAGACTATGAAAACCAAAGTCCAGCTGCATTTATAGATGCTACAAAATGTTAAAAGTTAGAAAACAGACTACAACAGCATATTAAAGATAAATGATCAAGTCACAACTATTCAATAAATGAAAGCCATCCACTGGAGAACCCAATAGTTAATCTAAAATCTCATAGTCATGGTCTAAAAAGGAAAAATCACATGACCTCCAAAGGTACCAAAAAGCTAACTGAACAAAACTCGTATTTCATTTTTAGATAGTAACTCAAAATATTACATTTCTCCTTCTTAGAAAACTTACTCTCCCATGCCCAAAACATGCGTTACTATAATGGAGAACCAGTAACAGGACTATGAAAGTCAAACTCGTGGCAAAAGTTCTACCCACTGCTACCACTTTACAACACTATCCTAGAAAAACCAGTCAGTGTTGTTAACCAAAAGAAAATTTTTTAGTAAAAATTGCAAAGGAGGCCATAAACTACTTGCAGGTACTATGTTTATGTACCTGGAATGCTGAAGAAAGCCACTAAACCATCATGGTATAAATAGTATGAGAATTCTTAAAGCCACAAGGCCAATACTCATCAACAGAAATCAACAGCCTTGATACATACAAAAACTAGTTTTTCAGAAAACAAGAGCAACACCAAAAACACTTTTAAAAACCCATAAATTTAGGTGGGCGTGGTGGTGCATGCCTTTAATCCCAGCACTTGGTAGGCAGAGGCAGGCAGATCTTTGTTAGTTTGAGGCCAGCCTGGTCCACATAGTTCCAGGACAGCTGGGGCTACAGGGAGACCCTGTCTCAAAAAGACCAAAAAAAGAAAAACCCATAAATCTGAGAATAAAGTTAAGAAATATGCAAGATATTCTTCATGAAAACTTTAAAAACATCCTGAAATGGGCATACCGTTGGACATACTGAATGGACCAGAAGATATTCAATAAGTCAATTTTGTAAATAAATCTAAATAAAATCTCAGTGAAAACACCAACACCCCACCTCCAATTTTTTTTGGAGGATGGGGTAAACAAAGCAAAATGATGGTAAACCTTTAAATACAAAAGATTAATGAAGAAAATGTTGAAAAAGCTCAATGAGACAGAACTAGTACTACTGGGTGTTGAGACATGGGACAACATCTAATTAGCTCCATCAAAGCAGGAAAAGATAGAAATTCCAGAAATATTCCCAAATACATACAGAAATTAAGTATGTGATACATGTAGCATTTAAAGTATCTTTTGGAATGGTGGATAACCACACGAAAACAGTCTTCCAGGCAGTGGAGAACTTGCTTGAATGAACTTACAGCAATGGTGACAGCAAGCATAAGACCCATGCAAACTCAAACCAGACAAAAACCCAGCAAAGAACTAGAGAAATGGGTAAGAAGCCCCAACGTTAGCTGAGGAACTATTGACAACTGATCACTACTGGGTGAGGGCCCGTTGCTCTTCTTTAAGGGTGTGATACTAGATAGGCTGACTAGGCACCAATGGATGAACTCACACCTAGGGACATCTGTGTACAGAAACTTGATTTGATAGGCCTTAATGGATACAACAGAATGCATGAAATCCGGTTGCGGGGGGGGGGGCTATAGGAAGGATGCAGATGGGGGAGGGGGTCTAAATACAATTAAGATATACTGCATGAAACGTACAAAAATTTAATAAAAAATATATATTGTAAAAAATAAAGGAGAAGCTCTCTCCAACCCGCAGGCCTTGCTCTCCTAGACTAACCCAGCTCCTCAGTGCAGACCCCAGGAGCCCCTGGGGCCGATTCCCACCCCCATCTTCCTTTGCATCTCTGGGTGGCAGGGCCACTAGCTGCCCTAGACCAGCATCTTTCCTGGGCCCGCTCCCAGGCCAGTCCAATCCCCAAATTCCTGAGCCCAAAATCTTTCCTGGAGGGATCTAGACCTTAGGAGGAAGACTGAGAGCATCTGATCCTCATCTGACTTGGGCCTCTGTGGGAATTCCCGAAGACAAAACCAATCTGGCCACTCCAATATAAAATCAAAAGAGAGAACTGGAAGCTTAGAGGAACCAGCTTTTCATGCCCCAAAAGCAAACCACAAAGACAGATAAAGTTCACAAAAAGAAGCAGACCTAAACTTGAAGGCTTGAGTCTCACACAAGAATCAGGAACTACAAAAGAAATCCACATGTCAAAATCAGACAGAAAAAATAATAACATGTAAAAGCAAAATAACACATCTCCACCAAATGCTAATAGTCCTCTAGAGGAGTAAAATGAGAACCCCCCCTAGAGATAATACAGGACATGGAACTCAAAAGAACAATTATAAACATGATAAAAGAATTCAGTGAATTAACAAAAATATCAAAGAACTGAAGGCAGATAGGGATAAACTTCTGAATGAATTCAGAAAAAGAGTTAGAAATATTGAAGACTACTTAGGCTGAAATGAAGAAGGAAGTGAAACACTCAGTAAGCCAATTAGAAACAACAGGAGAAAGCCTCACCAACAGGATGAATGAAATGGAAAACAGAGTATCAAGACTGGAAGACAAAGTGGACAAACTAGACCACTCAAGCAAAGATTATGAAAAATTTAAGAAATCACAAGAATGGAATATGCAGGAATTGTGAGACACCATAAAAAGAACAAACAATATGGATCATAGGCATACAGGAAGAAGAATCCCAAGATAACAGCAATGGACCAAATCTTCAACAGAATCGTGGAAGAAAAATTTCCAAAATTAAAGAAAGACATGCCCATACAAATACAAGAAGCATATAGAGCACCAAACAGACAGGACCAGAAAAGAAACGCCCCACGGCACATCATAGTAAAAACACTAAATGTGCAAAACAAAGAGACGATACTGAAAGCTGCAAAAGAGACACAAGTCACATATAAAGGAAAACCCATCAGGATTACAGCTGACTTTTCAGTGCAAACTATGAAAGCCAGAAGAGCCTGGACCAAAGTATTCCCAGTTTTAAATGACTAAAGATGCCAACCCAGATTACTATACCCAGCCAAAATGCCTATTATAGTCAAAGGGGAAAGAAAAATCTTCCATGACCTAAATACGCTGAAGGAATTCATGTCCACAAAACCAGCCCTTCAGAGAGTTCCGGAAGCAATACAAAGAGCTGAAGAAAGGAACGACTATACCCAAGGGGTTGCGGAAATAAATTCAATGAAAGTTTAACTGTGAAAAAGTACAGGTATATCAAGAATGTAAACAGAAATAAAAATGACAGGATTTAATACTCATTTTTCATTAATAACTTTAAATATCAATGGACTGAACTCCCCAGTCAAAAGACACAGACTATATGAATGGATTAAGAAACAAAACCCATCTTTCTGTTGTCTGCAAGAAACTCATCTCACTTTCAAGGACAGACACTATCTTAAAGTGAAAGGATAGAAAAAAAATATACCAAGCAAATGGCACTAAGAAAAAAGGAGGCATAGCAATTCTAATATCTGACAAAACAGATTTTAAACTAAAACTCATCAGAAGAGATAAAGAGGGCCACTTCATTCAGATCAAAAGAACAATAAATCAAGACGATATTACAAATGAACAATAAATCAAGAAGATATTACAATCAGGAACATATATTCACCAAACTCTGGTGCACACAACTTCATAAAAAAAAAAAATATAAAAGGACTTTAAGACCCAAATAAATTCCAACTCATTAATAGTAGGGCACTTCAATACCCCACTGTCTCCATTAGATAGGTCAACAGGGCAGAGAGTTAACAGACATCTGAATTAAACAATACCATATATCAAATGGACTTAACAGACATCTACTGAGTATTCCATCCAAGCACCAATGGGCATACTTTGTACTCAGCACCCCATGGAACCTTTTCCAAAATCAACCATATACTGGGGCACAAAACAAACCTCAACAAATACAAAAAGATTGAAATAATTCCATGCATTCTATCAGACCACAATGCAATAAAGCTTACAATCAACACTGGAAGAAGCTCTAATCACCACATGAACACATGGAGATTAAACAACACACTCTTGAATGATGAATGGGTCAAAAGAGAAATTAAGAAAGAAATAAAAGCATTCCTGGAACTAAATGAAAAGGACAATACAACACAACAAAACCTCTGGGACATGCTGAAAGCTGTCCTTAGAGGGAAGTTTATAGCTCTAAGTGCCTACATCAAAAAATCAGAAAGAACACAAATGAATGACAACGTTGCAACTCAAGACACATGAAAAGCAACAGGAAATGAAACCCAAACCCAGCAGACAAGAAGAAATAACAAAAATCAGGGCAAAAATTAATGAAATTGAAACACAGAAAAGAATACAAAGAATCAACATTACCAAGAGCTGGTTCTTTGAAAAGATAAACAAGATTGACAGACCACTAGCCCAGTTAACCAAAAGAAAGAAAGAGCACCTCCAAATTAACAAAATCAGAGATGAAAGGGGAAACATCACAACAGACACCAGAAAGATACAGACCATTATAAGGGAATACTTTAAAAACCTATATGCTACTAAATTTGAAAACCTAAAAGAAATGGACGGATATCTAAAGGCATGGGAACCACCAAAACTAAACCAAGAAGAGATTAACAGCTTAAACAGACCCATAACACAAAAAGAAATTGGAACAGTAATACAAAACCTCCCGACTAAAAATAGTCCAGAACCAGATGGATTTACAGCAGAATTCTATCAGACATTTAAAGAAGATCTACATCCAATACTACTTAATTTACTCAAAAAGATAGAAATGGAGGGAAAACTTCCAAATTTCTTCTATGAAGCCGGCATCACTCTAATACCAGTCAGGTAAAAATACAACCAAAAAAGAAGACCATAGACCCATATCCTTAATGAACATAGATGCAAAAATTCTCAACAAGATATTTGCAAACCACATACAGACACACATCAAAAAGATCATCCACCATGATCAAGTTGGCTTTATCCCAGAGATGCAGGGATGGTTCAATATACATAAGTCAATAAACGTCATAAATCATATAAATGGGCTCAAAGAGAAGAACCACATGGTCATCTCAATATATGGCTTGCAAACCGCATACAGACACACATCAAAAAGATCATCCACCATGATCAATTTGGCTTTATCCCAGAGATGCAGGGATGGTACAATATACGTAAGTCAATAAACATCATAAATCATATAAATGGGCTCAAAGCCAAGAAACACATGGTCATCTCAACTGATAGAGAGGAGGCCTTTGACAAAATTCAACATGCATTTTTTTGTTCAAAGTACCAGAGAGAACTGGACTGGAGGGAACATACCTCAACATACTTAAACCCATATATAACAATCCCACAGCCAACATCCTTCTAAATGGAGCAAAACAGGAAGCATTCCCATTGAAATCAGAACCCACACATGGGTTCCACTATCTCCACTTCTCTTTAACATGGTGCTTGAAACTTGCAAGAACAGTAAGACAAGAGCTTGAAATTAAAGGAGAAATCATTGGAAAGCAAGAGATCCAATTATCCCTTTTTGCAGATGATAGGAGTTTATAACTAAGAGATGCCAAAAATTCAACCAGAAAACTCCTCAAAATTATTAACAAGTTCAGTAAAATGGCAGGTTACAAAATTAAACTACAAAAGTCTGTAGCCTTTATATATACTAAAAACAAGTGATCAGAGAAAGAGTACATGGAAACACTCCCCTTCACAATACCTGAAAAAAAAAAAAATCTTGGAATAAACCTGACCAAAGACATTAAAGAGCTCTACAATGAAAATTTTAAATCTTTAAAGAAAGAGATTGAGGAAGACATCAGAAGATGGAAGGGCCTCCCATGCTCATGGATTGGAAGAATTAATATTGTGAAAATGACCATTCTACCAAAAGTCATTTATAGATTCAGTGCAATGCCAATCAAAATCCCCATGACATTTTTCACAGACTTGGAAAAAAACATCCTAAGATTGATATGGAAGCACGAAAGATCTCAAATAGCCAAAACAACCCTGATCACTAAGATCAATGCCGGGGGGGTTTACTATACCAGATTTTAAGCTGTATTACAGAGCTATAGTCATAAAAACAACATGCTACTGGCACAAAAATAGATCCATAGATCAATGGAACAAAATTGAAGACCCAAATATGAGTAAATGCAATTTCAGCTACCTGATATCTGGCAAAATGGCCAAGAACATTCACTGGAGGTAAGACAGCATGTTCAGCAAATGGTGCTGGCAAAACTGGATCTCCACCTGTAGAAGAAT